TATATATATATTTTTTGTGTGTGTGTGTGTGTGTGTGTGTGTGTGTGTGTGTGTGTGTGTGTGGTTGGTCAGAACCGCAGGGTCAGCAGGGAAGGTCAGAGGGAACAGCAAGGCTACAAGACCCCTGCCAGCCAGCCAATCAGAGTAAAGGCTCTGGTGGACAGCCAATGGTAGAGTGGCTTGGTGGCCTTTGATGGAGGGGCCACCATTAGCCTCGTCCCTGAACAACAGTGCTGGGGGCAAGATGGCCGACATCCAGCACTGCAGAGATGGAGAGGGTGAGGGTAGAGATGGATGCAGAGACAGAGGGAGAAAAATGAGCGAGTGAATTGATGGTAGACGGTAGAATAATGAGAAAAAAAGATGGAAAGAAGTTCAATTAGAAAGTATATGTTTACAAAAGAGCAGAATATGAAATCAGGGATGTTTTTAGCCACACTAGCGGCATGGCTCTATGGATGGTAATGCTTGTCTGGAGGTCGGTCCATCAGTTTGATCCAGACTGAAATATCTCAACTATCATATAGTTTGTCATGACATTCGGTAAACACATTCATTTCCCCCTCACGATGAATTGTGATAATTTTAGCTGTGCCCTGACTTCTTATCTAGCAGCATCATCAGATCACAATTTTCTCTTCAGTGACCTGCAAACTAATGATGTTCACGTCAACCTCAGCTCTACTCTGTTTGGTAGTAATTAGTAAATGTTAGCATGCTAACATGCTAAAGTTTTAACACTGTCCCTGCCCAAACATCAGTTTAGGGTTAGGGTACGTTGTATTACAGTTACTAGTTGTTGAAGAGGGCAGGGGTTGTGTGACATGATAAGAATGGAGGGATCAAGAAAAGATAGAGACTGGCCGTTTTTACTGTAACTATCTGCAAAGAGGAAGGTACACATCCTTTCTTTTGTTTTTCTCTACACAGCTAACTGTGCCAGTTACTTTAAGATAACGCAGATTTCCATTAGTTTTACTCAGGGCTGCTAATGAACGCTTTAAAAGTTGTGTTTTTGATAGAAAAGATATTAAAGGGGAATACGCTCTGTATTGAACAGAGCCTGATGATATGCACGTTTTTTTTGCAACGGCGTAATCGTCACACCACACTTTTTTTTTCTTTTTTTTTTTTTAATCATATTTGAACCACATAAGCATTTAACATGGTTGAAGACATTTTCAATGAAGCAAATTCTCGGAGGCAGCAACATTAGTTATAGTGAGTTTACTCAGTGTGTGTCGGAGAGCAGGCGACGTCTGCTTGTCTGCTCTGATTTAAATGAAGACCAGATGAATACTTATAGCCATTCTATCTGAACAGACTGTGTCACAGATAGGTTGTGACACGCGATGATGTAAGGTAACATTTAATCTAAAGAGGACAAGACACGCAGATCACTGTGATTGCACATTCAGTAAAAATCCATTTTCTGCCATTCAAATGAGGTATTAACTGATGTAACTTACAGTGTGTTGTAAATGTAAACATTTAAAGTTTTAACTGGTAACAAACCTGATCTCCTGAAGAAATGATGTGGGGAAACGGCACTGCAAATTTGGCAAGGGCCCCGCCATCCCTCTGATTGGGTAATATATATATATATTTTTTAAATCAAAGGATCGCATCTCAGCTTCCAGTAGATAGACCTGACACACTTCCTTCTACTGAAGTGCAATACATACTTTGATCACTCAAACAGACTACCCTTACCACACATTACAGTTTAGAGAGGCATTGTTTTACTTGTTTAAAGCTGCACTTTTTTTTTTTTATATACTACAGATTAAATGTCTATGTGCTCTTTTTAGTGTCTTTACTGTTTTGAATCAGTCTCACCAACTTTATTTCTCTCTCAACCCGCTGTACGCAACCTGCCAAGCAAATCGTCAGACAGAGTCGGCAGCTATCTGGTGAACGTAGTGGAGAATTTAGCAGCTGCGAGGGCCAGATATTTCCCTCAGGAGTTGGTGGAGAGCGAAACGGAGCTAAAAGGAGAGTGAATGTTGGACTCTAGACACGAGCACAACTCCAAACGAGTGCTAGTGTGTTTAATGTGGCTGTGTGTCTGATGTGTAAATATGCAACTGTGTGCCAACATGTTCCACATATCAGCTTTATGAGGAGATGATACAGTATCTTGTTGTTGTTGTTTACAGCTTGTTTCGCTACCCTCAAGTGGCCAAGAGAACTAATTTAAAAATGTATTAAAAAAACAGGGAAGAAATGGACACAACAACAACAAGACACAAAAACACAGAGACATGATAAATACACTGCATGCAAAAAGTTTCAGAGTACGTGAAACAAAAGCAGAATCAGCTCCTGCACTGATGTGCCCTTTCGTCTTTGCGCCTTCATTTTCATTGGAAATCACCGACCAATTGCCAAAGTTTGAGCAACCTAAGTGGCAGTGGCAGGAAAGAGGGGGAAGTCTGTTGTTCGGATGAACTAAGCCGCTGTCTCTGTCAGTGGGCTGAAAGGCAAAGCTGTAAAAACCTTAAAGAAGAACACAAACATGCCACTCACCCCAGCCCATAACACAAGGCCAAAGATTGAGTAAGACAAGGATTTAGAAAGATAAATGAAGCAAAAAAAAGAAAAAAGAAAAAAGATGCTCTTCAGTTGCAACAAGAAACAAAGGCAGAGTGGGAGAGATGGTGAGAGATGAAGACAGAGAGGAGGCTGCCGTAGGGAGGTCCATGGATGCCAGGGGTGCTCACGATTGTACGAGCGTCTGAAAAGCGTAGAAGTGATGGCAGCTGTTTGGCCTCCTAATCAAGGTACACTAGGCCTGGGCCTCCTCCAAACACACTGATGTAAAGCTGATGAAAATTTTGACAGTGCCACATAGATGACAAAAAAAAGAAGAGGAGAATGCACCCACCTACATGAGCCCATACACCTACACACCGCAGGCCTCCTTAATGAAAGCCCGAATCTGCTGTGATCTTTGAATTCATTTAGCTTCATGAATTCAAGATGCAGGATGATGACATAATTGTGAAAACCTTTTTCATGCAAATGACATTGTGTCTGCAGTGATTGTGGCACTTGTGCTTATTTGCGGGGGGGGGGCCTGTTTTCCCTTTGTGTGTGTTTACGCAGGTATGAGGCAGCAGAATGACCGCGGTACTCAGTATCGTTCAGCCATCTACACGTCCAACCCCGCTCAACAGGAGCTTGCATTGAAGAGCAAAGTGGCCTTCCAGCAGGTATAACACCCACACAAACATCACAAGGTTTCATTGTGACATTTACTTAAGCATGGAGTTACATATAACCAAACCGTGTGCGAAGTAAGGCAGGAGCGGTAGAGTGTGTGTTGGGAAAGTGTTAAAAAAGTGTGAAGACTGATTCCCTTTTCTTTCTTTTTTTGTAATTTGCTGTTTAGTATTGAGACATAGCATGAAACACACAGGGCCTATGTTAAAGACTGATGTCATGTATTTACTTATAATAGTTGATGTTTGAATTTGAATTATTTGAAAAAGGAGAAATCATCAGAATGAACAAAACATCATTTTGTCATCATTTAAAAAACTTTTTTTTTTTTTTGGGCCGTTAAGTGGGGCTAAGCTGTAGCGGAGGTGGAGGTGTCTCAGTTATTTGAATAGCAAGTAAAAGCCTCTGGAGTGGTGACCTCTCGGAGTTGGATGCCGTTTAGTTAAGCAAAGCCACCTCTGTTCAGTTGATCCCCAGCTATAATCTAATCGGTGACACCTCCTCTTTTAAACTGAGAGAGAGGAAAGGGGTCAATAGGTCATCAAAACTCATTTCCAAATCTCTGCCTTTCAGCGGCACACGCCACGCGCCCCCCTCCCTTTTGTTCTTTCCCTCCATCTGTCTGTCCATCTATCCGTTGATCCCTCCATCAGTTGGGTTTGCTCGTGTCCTCTCTCTCGAAATGGTATTCACGGACAAGCTGGCAGGGGGCAAGAGGGGAGAAAATTACCGTCGTCATGGTTACTTAGGACACTGGGGTCAGCAGTCACAGGCCACAGGGCTGTCATGTTGCCGTGACAACAACCTCCTAACCTTGGCCTTGGGCTGGGGTCAGAGGTGAGAGTGGAGTGGCAGCTGGGACCAGGAAGGTGGGGACGTGGGGGGAGGAAAAGCAGGAAAAGAGAAAGAAAAGGAGGCAATCAGATCAGAGGGCCATGACTGACAGGCCATCAACTGACAGTGACCCCCACCCCTGTGGCTATCAACTGATGGTGACCCCACACACTCACTCACTCACGCACACACGCGCACACACTGCATTTATAAGCCATACACTCTCACAGTGTTTAGAGAGACAAAACCACAACTGGCATGGAACAGTAGCAAGAGGAGTGTAACAGTCATTTTGTACATATAGGGTGCGTGAATAAAAGAAAGAGGGAGAGGAATGCGCAGATGTCAAACATGCATCCCAAAGCATGATGGGATCCAAAATATATTCATCACAAGAACAAATGAGAAAAAAAACTTGAAAGTTACAAAGTTCCTTCCTGACCTTGAAAACAGCAGTTACAGCAGCTGACAAAAACAATCCCCCCTCGGTATCCTTTTAGCAGTAGAATTGTAGATATTGAAATTTAGATATTTCTCTGAGCACTGTTACAACTTCTCATCAATATTGTCTGAAAAGTCGAGCGTCAAAGTTATTTTTTTGACTTTGGAAACTGCAGGTGACAAAATAATCGAATAATCTAATGGTTTAATGTGATTCAATGATTATTCCAATATAATAATAACTGAATGAACTTGAAACTGACACAACATGACGAGAATTTTCTTGAACATTTCTAGTTCCATGACAACTCAGCAAACTGGGCTGATGAAGATCATGTGATAAGAGCAGCGACTAAATGGAGCGTGACGTGAGATTGTTTTGTCAAAAGAAAAAGGAAAATAGTCACAAAATCCTTGAAACGTTGCCCTTTTTTATGCTACCAATAATTTAGTATTAGTATTATTAAAGAATTAGCTTTGAGTTACATCTTTCAGAATTAAAGTCATTAAAAAGTTTTTTTTATGAAATTTCCTTTAAAAAAAAAAAAAAAAAAAAAAAAAGAAAGAAAGTATACTAGAACACGTATCGCCCACAAGCAAATCTGAAGCCTTTCTGAGTTGCCTAACCGGTTCTGAAAATAAGTATATAAGACATGAAATCACTCCGCCATAAGCCTGTAAATAATCAGAGTGAAAACCAAGCAAAAACAAGAAAACAAGCCTCGGGTTCATCAAGTTAATATTACAACACAAAAAAAGGCAGAAGATAGTCACACACATTTATAAACATCCAGAGGAGGAACAGCGCTCCGACTATTCTCTCCTTCTCTCTCCCCACCAACGCTGCTGACACCACTGATCTGTCAACCACTTCAGTGGCACCCCAGTTTCATCTGAGGGCCACTGGGACACATATCTTCTCAAAGCAGCTGACACGCTCTGAACCAAAATGGCAGCTTCCTGCCCTGAAATGGCTGCCTTTGCCGCATTGATGCTGAGTCTCAAGAACGCCTGGCTTGAAAATGGCATCTCTACAGAGGAAGGGCTTGCTGTGTGTGTCTGTCGGTGCGCGTGAGGTTACGTGTGTGTGTGTGTGTGTGTGTGTGTGTGTGCGTCTGTGTGTGTTTGTGTGTGTTTTATCCTAAAAGGCCAATGCTCTCTATCGGGAGAAGTGCGTTCATGTTCGGTAGAGTGACAAGAGCGAGTGGGTGGAGGCGATCTAAGACGACCAGAGATAAGACAGGCATCACAAAATCCAGATTCCACCCCACTGCCAGCTCATGACTCACACACACACTCGCATGTAGTACAGACAGACACACACACACACACACACACACACACACACACACACACACACACACACAGAGACATACATTTGGCACATACACGCACAGCCCAATGAATAATTAACCCATACGAAGAGTCTCTTCTGCAGGGCTTTCAGTTTCTTAACTTCAGCATTGGAGGTGGAGGGTGGGGGGAGTTAGGGGGGAGGAGGAGAGTGAGGCAGAAAAGCTTGTTTAAGCGCGAGAGCAGAGAGGGGGAGGAGAGGGAGAGGGGAGAGGAGAAGGGGGTTCTCTATAATGAAATTTGAAATTTGCAGAACATCAAAGGCTTCTGTAGCCAAGCCGCTGTGGCAGCAGAGCAGAGAGGAGGAGTGCATCTCTTTCTCTCCCTCTGTCTCCCCCGTCTCTCACTCTCTCTTTCCCCTTCTCTTTTTCCCTCTATCCCTCCCTTTCTGCTAAAATGTGTCTCCCCAGAGCTGAGGGGGTGGGGGTGTTGGGGGGTGAGTGGAGGGTGAGAGAGAAGGGATGGGAAGAGTTGATTAGGAAGAGAGAGCGGGGTGGGGGTGGGTCAGAGATGTGTTAGGGTTTGGAGAGAAAAATGGGAGAACAGAGGTTCTATATATATGTGTGTGTGTGTGTGAGAGAGAGAGAGAGGAGAGTGTACGTACGTGCATGTATGAACAATAGGTTTTATCAAGCCAGCCTGAATATTGTGTGTGTGCGTGCACATGCATGTGTGTAGGGCCTTGGAGGGGTGAGTGTGCCCTCTGATAAGGCATCCTAACTTAATGAGCTTGAAAGGGGGATGGAGGGGAGAGCACAGGGGTTCGGATGATGGGTGGAAAAAAAAAAAGAGGGGGGGGGGGGGGGGTCGTTTGGGGCTAGAAGTCTTGAGGAGAAGCCCGGGGGTTGTTAAAAGGTGGCACAGCATCAGCAGGTTTCGTAATCGGGCTTCAAGTCGCACAAGCTCGCATCTCATATTTTGGAAAGTATTCAAAAGTCAGATTTACCCTTCCAACTGTTCCCCCGCTCTCACGTTTTATAGTCTGTCTGGGATTTTACGTGAAAACCTTACAATACTTGAGCTGTGTGCTGAACTTATCAATAACAACACAACATTTTTCTTACGTAGCTCTAAAACAGTATCGGCTTAGATAAAAGAGAATAATAAAAAATTGTTACTGGTTTAATGTTCACACAACTTTTTTTCTTTCTTTTTTTTTTTTTTTTTTTTATAAATCGCCAGAAAGTTAACGCCCATCTTTCAGTGAGCTCTGGTCGAGTGCATTGCAGCTGAGATGTAAAAAGGCGATTGGTTTTCAGAAAAATGCAGGGCTGATCTCCTGCGTTTTCGCTCTTCAGATGTTGAGCTACTTGTTGTCTGCCCTGGAAAAAAAAGAGAAAAAAAAAACAAAAAACAACAAAAAAAAAACAAAAAACGTAGGAGCGCGCACCGCCTCGCTCCGAGACTGAAGTGCGTGCATCCTCTCTCCCTCTCAAAATGTAGGAGTGTTGGCTTCCTCGCTCACAAAATGTAGGCGTGCTCGCTGAAGATTAGAGCCCAGCTAAAATGGATGCCTGACCCGCGCTGAGAGAGAGAAAGAGAGATGAACAGAGCAGGGCAGCAAAAAAAAAAAAAAAAAAAAAAAAAAAACAAAAAAAAAACTCTTCATCCTCTGTGCATAGACAGACACGCAGAGGGAATAGACATCCTTTAGCTCAGACACACACACACACACACAGGCGCAGTGATCTACATGACTGTTTTACATGTATGGCATTTTACAGAACCTCACAGGAACAAGAAGCATAATGTTGCTACTCTTCCAGTGTCTTTTTCTCTCTTTCAGACTATTGTGTTTATATCTTTTTTTTTTTTTTCACCACAGTCTGTTTTCATTCCGTCAGTCTCTCGGTAGTCTCCCATGCTCTTCTCCACCTTCATTTCGCTCCCTCTCTCCCTGCGTGACTCTGCACCATCTCCGTGTCTCTTTCTCTCCCTGTCCGTCTTTCTCCTTCATCCTCCCGCCGTCACTCCCGCTCTTGTCCTCTCTCTCTCTCTCTCTCTCTCTCACTCTCTCTCCTTCTCCCTGAGGTCATTGGGGGCAAGCGTGGTGCAGCGGACTAGTCGATAAGTATCATGTCAGGCCATTTCATGTGTTTTCAGGCAGAGCCACAGTCTTACCTATTGCCAGCATTGTAGCACGGAGCAGCTTTGCTTTTTCCGCGGCACTCAAAGTGTATTTACATTTTTAAGATGTTGAAGGGCTTTTTGTGCGGCTGCAGCGAACGAAACAGATCAAGTGTCTGTGTTAATGTACAAACCATTTGTTTTCTTTTGTCTTTAAATTCTGAATTTCAGTGTTGGAGAGAAACTAAGTGCTTTATTTGAGACCAATGTTGAGGTACTTGTAAGTACCTTTTTT